CAATGAAGTATGATATTATGTCGGAGTCGACAATGAAAACCACCACTGGACTCTAGTGGTAATAATTATTTTTTACACTTTGACAATATATATCATTCTTATGTCATAGACAAAAGACCACATGAAAACTATGGAATGCACACTTTATAGGTAATCTACCCAAAAGAAAAGAAGTCTATGTTCTTAAGTCCCCCGGGGGAATCTAAACAAGAGATACAAAAATGCTTACAAATCAGGAGTATGGTTGAAAATGTAATATAAACTGAAGCGTGACAATAAAATAAAGTTGTTCTTACTAATATGTTTATATTTACAGAGCATTTATGAGAAAAAATGGTGCAGTGTCTCACGCTGGAAATGTGAGACAGTAAAGAACCACTGAAAAACCAGACATCACCTCATGTGGTGTTTTTGCACTGAAGGTGCGTAAATATTGTCACACAGTGTATAACTGTACGATTTTTATATATTTTTGGACAATATACAGTGATTTACTTTCTTTGTCACTTCAAATTAGATCTATTAAATTAAACATTACATTTCAATTTGCAGAAGAAATCCTGATGTTGTTCCTGGGATCTGTTGTAGCCATTGCTCCAGTTTGGGGGTTACTGCCCTGAGGGCAGTAACCCCCAATGACCACAGGCACCACTGTGGTCTTCACCTTCCAGGCCTTCTCCAGTTCTTCCCTGAGGCCCTGGTATTTCTTCAGTTTCTCGTGCTTCTTTTTCCTAATGTTGCAATCACTTGGTATTGCTACATCTACCACAACGGCTTTTCTCTGTTGTTTATCCACTACGACAATGTCTGGTTGGTTCGCCATTACCATTATATATATATATATATATATATATATATATATATATATATATATATATATATATATGACTGGATAGCTCTATACATAAGGCATCAGTATATAACCCGAGAGGGCAGGGTTCCAATCCAGTCTGGGTCCTTAGGCAAGACCCTTCAAGCTACTGCCTACCTCATACCATGAGAGATACTAAGTTGCGTAACATGCCGGCTCAGACGTCGCCCGGCCAAACAAGGTCTGCGTCAGGTGTTGGGGAACCAGAGCACCTTTATGACAAATGGGCTACTGGAACAAGACGGAAATGGGCGAGAGATGAAAATGTGGGATTTGTTGGAATGCTACTACTCAAGTAACCCTAGTCAGAGAGGTTACATGCAAGACTGGGGAAGGAATGGTTACTTCGACATCCCCAGTCAACACTAAGCGCTAAACAACTAGTAGCTCAGTGTTCCAACATCCGCAAACGGCAACTGCTATCACAACTTGAGATTGACGAGATACAACACAAATGCTACGGCAAAAGGGAGGAACCCGGATGTACCCGGATGTAACTACAAGTCCCACCCAGTGAGGGGATACACGGCCCCAATGAGCGAAACAGAGCTGAACGAGACAGCTGCTGACCTGAGAGAGAGAATCATGACCCGAATGACAACCAGACCTCCTCGGCGCCAATTACAACGGCTGAGTGAAGTACCATCAGAAAGTCTCATTGAGAATGTGAATGCAGCATTGAGAACGATCCCTACCAACACCATAACAGAAACCAATGAGCTGATCTACAACTCAGCATCAGTGATCCTTGAGACGCTTGGCTATAAGAGCAACCATGAGACCCAATACCCACCATGGAAAAGACGGTTAGAGGCTAAAATCAAGGTAACAAAGAGGGAAGTGAGCCAACTGTCAGAGCTCCACAGAGCTCCACAAGGGTACAATGAAAAGACCAGTACCCAGAAAGTACAGGCAGATGCCCATACCTGAAGCACTCGAAACTGCCAAACAGAGGCTCCAAGCCTTGGCCAGCCACCTAAAAAGATACACAAGGGAGAATGAATCCAGAAGGATTAACCGGCTCTTCTCCACTCAACCAGCTAAGGTGTACTCTCAATGGCAGGGTAACAATAACAACAGAGCAGACCCACCAAGGCTGGAGACGGAACAGTACTGGAAAGGCATATGGGAAAGGGAGGCGTCCCACAACAGCAATGCACAGTGGCTGATCTCTCTACGAGAGGACCACAGCAACCTCCCTGAGCAAGCCCCGGAAACCATCACTGTGACAGATGTCCAAGAAAGAGTCTCAGGTATGAAAAACTGGACAGCACCAGGGCCTGACATGATCCATGCCTACTGGCTAAAGAACTCACTGCCCTCCATGAGCGACTGGCAACCCAAATGAACCAGCTGCTACAAAGTGGGACTCACCCTGAATGGTTAACTGAAGGGCGGACAATCCTAATCCAGAAGGATCCATCAAAGGGTCCAGTCCCACCCACTACTTACCAATAACCCTCTCCACAACCTGGAAGCTCATGTCAGGCATCATAGCGGCCAAGATAAGCAAACACATGGATAAACACATGAGCACGGCACAGAAGGGTATCGGTGTAAACACCAGAGGAGCCAAACACCAACTCCTCGTAGACCGCACAGTTGCCCGAGACTGCAAAACCCGACACACCAACCTGTGCATGGCTTGGATTGATTACAAGAAAGCCTACGACTCAATGCCGCATACTTGGATCATTGAATGCTTAGAGATGTATAACATCAACAGGACTCTGAGAGCCTTCATTGCAAACTCGATGAGGCTGTGGAAAACCACCCTTGAAGCCAACTGCAAACCACTTGCACAAGTGTCCATCAAATGTGGCATATACCAAGGAGATGCTCTGTCCCCGCTACTGTTCTGCATAGGCCTGAACCCCCTCAGCCAAATTATCAACAAGACTGGCTACGGATACCGACTCAAAAATGGGGCCAACATCAGTCACCTCCTCTACATGGATGAATTTCAAACTGTACGCCAAGTGTGAGCGAGACATCGACTCACTGATCCACACCACCAGGATCTACAGCACTGACATTGGGATGTCATTCGGACTAGAGAAGTGTGGTCGGCTGATCACAAAGAGGGGGAAGGTGATCCGCACAGAAGGAGTCTCACTCCCACAAGGAACAATAGCAGACATAGAGGACAGCTACAAGTACCTAGGTATACCACAAGCAAATGGCAACCTCGATGAGGCCACAAGGAAAGGAGCCACAGCTAAATACCTCCAACGAATAAGGCAAGTCCTGAGAAGCCAGCTCAATGGCAAGAACAAAATCCGTGCGATAAACAACTATGCCCTACCAGTAATCAGATACCCTGCTGGAATAATTAGCTGGCCAAAGGAGGAGATAAAAGCCACAGATATTAAGACCAGAAAGCTACTAACAATGCATGGAGGGTTCCATCCCAAATCCAGCACCCTGAGACTGTACACGAGCCGCAAGGAAGGAGGCAGAGGACTAGTGAGTGTGAGAACCACTGTCCAGGACGAAACAACTAAGATCCATAAATACATCAGGGACAAAGCCTCAACAGACAATGTGCTCAGTGAATGTCTCAGACAACAGGGAACGGAGGTTGAGGTGCCAGAGATACCATCATGGGAGGACAAGCCCCTACATGGGATGTACCACCAGCAAATAACCCAAGTGGCTGATATCAGTAAATCCTATCAATGGCTGGAAAAAGCTGGACTCAAGGACAGCACAGAGGCCCTCATCCTGGCCGCCCAGGAACAGGCCCTAAACACCAGAGCAATAGAGGCCCAGATCTACCACACCAGACAAGACCCAAGGTGTAGGTTGTGCAAGGAGGCCCCTGAGACAGTCCAGCACATCACAGCAGGGTGCAAGATACTGGCAGGGAAAGCGTACATGGAACGACATAACCAAGTGGCAGGCATAGTCTACAGAAACATCTGTGCAGAATATGGACTGGAAACCCCGAGATCAAAGTGGGAAACACCCCCAAAGGTGGTGGAGAACGCCAGAGCTAAGATCCTGTGGGGCTTCCAGATCCAGACAGACAAAATGGTAATGGCGAACCAATCAGACATTGTCGTAGTGGATAAACAACAGAGGAAAGCCGTTGTGGTAGATGTAGCAATACCAAGTGATTGCAACATCAGGAAAAAGGAGCACGAGAAACTGGAGAAATACCAGGGCCTCAGGGAAGAACTGGAGAGGGCCTGGAAGGTGAAGACCACAGTGGTGCCTGTGGTCATCGGGGCCCTCGGGGCAGTAACCCCCAAACTGGAGCAATGGCTACAACAGATCCCAGGAACAACATCAGACATCTCAGTCCAGAAATGTGTAGTTCTTGGCACAGCCAAGATACTGCGCAGAACCCTCAAGCTCCCAGGCCTCTGGTAGAGGACCCGAGCTCAGAGGATAAGAACCACCCGCGGTGGGTGAGAAGGGAATTTATTTTATTTTTTTTTATATTTATATATATATATATATATATATATATATATATGCTGTTCATCAGCAGTCAGTCGTTTAATACTGCAGAGGCCTGGGAACAAGCAGTCTATTTGAATGAGGTGTATTGGAAGAGTTTCTACTCTACGCGGTCCTGCATCCTCTTTTGTCTTCAGCTCCACTGCTTTTTTTAAAAAAGCAGTGGAGTGTATGTATATATATATATATATATATATATATATATATATATATATATATATATATATATATATATACATACTACACTTTTAAGTGCATATGAAAACAGGACTAACAATAACAAGAATAGCAGAAACTTTTTGATAATGTGCAAGTAAGTAGCACAACTTTGTCAAAATGTACATAACGTGCATATTGAACTGTAAATATATAACAGGAAATGTACAATCCAGTGTGTCGGTGTAGAGAAAGCGCTCTGCAGTAATAACGGAAATGTTTTTATCAAACATGTCTAAAAAACTGCAATAACTGCATGTAAATGTCAGTAGGGAAGTAAACATTTCTTGATTTTGTTTAGAGCAGTGATTTGATTGACTAATTTAACAGCAGAATTTTTTTTTTCGTACCTTAATTTTTTAAATGCTTTAAATGAATTTAAAAGAGGCAGAAATGAATTGTGGGCAGGTTCTGTGGAGCATTCTGATGTCACATAAGCTGACTTGTCATCAGGCGCTTTTGGAACTTTTGTCAATAAGAGCCGAGTTCCTACAGGAATTCATCCATTTGAAGAGTTAGACGTCGGATAGATTACTTCAAAAAATTCAAGAAATTGAACTGAGCTTCAGTTTTTCGAGTAAGTATTTATTTAGAAATTAGTGAAGCACATAAAAAAATGACATTTTGTGCTAGTATTTTGAAGGAAGTGTGCAGAGTTGTGTTGGTACATTTTGGACATGCTTTGTACCAAAATGTACCACTTTTGCATGTCTTTGGTTTTTTACAGTCATGCTAAGAAGAAGTGAACGTTTGAGAAACAACGGATACTATGATATGGATGGACAACCTGTTATTTCATACAGGGAGACGCCAATCAGGTAGATTAAATCAGCAATTTTCATTAAGTCATATGTTTTATGCAGTCATCTGCTGATCAGTGTACATTTTAACTCGCTTGTATATTTTTCATCTAGGGCCATAAGGAGGCGCATAACAGGTCGTCCTGAAAACCACCCTGCAGTCACATTTAGAGAGAGGTCACATGATTCTGGTGACAATGTGATTGACAGAGAAAGACAGATGATGATGACTCTGTTGCAGGGTGGTTTTGATATATCAGTCTTTGTCTTTCTCATCTTCGTCACTTTTGGTAAATACTCTCCTACAAACAGTCAATTTGGAAGTGTTACAGAAAGTCTGTGTTTTTAAATTTTTTCTCACTGTTGTCTTCTGCTCATGTTCATCAGGATGTATTTGCTGTATTATTTCCTTCCACTCACGATCTTCAGAGTTGTCTCTCACAACTCTAACAGACATGGTAGGCTTTCTCTTCCTAATCTTAACACCGATTTAATTATCATGATCAAACATGAGAACAAGCTGTTAATTTTTATGTTGTGCACAGGTTACGATCTTTGGACGCAAGGATCAAAGACATCTCTCCAACCTGGAGCTCTTGGAGCAGAAGGTTGACTACCTTCTGCCACAAGCAGACCTGTGGCCCAACTTTGCTCTGGAGTCTCAAGGCAAGCCATTACAAATAAGATCATCAACTAGATTTCAAATTTTCAGTATTAAAATTTTCTAACTCACATTATTTCTGTTTTTGTGTTTTGTGTACAGGAGCAAATATTTTACACAAGATGACCTCAGAGGCTTATGACATCAATAAAGAAGTTGGAACGTTTGGGAAATTGTTCAAGAGACCTCCTATTGGCCCAGGCATTGTTATTAAGGTTTGAATGATGATCAGATCATTAAAAAAATAAAAGTGGTGTTTCTTGGTGATATATTATTAGGCTTTATGATTTACTTTTCTCTTAGTCTTGGTACCCCACTTAAATTTTGTTCTCTGTTTTCAGGGAAAAAATCGTCTGCAACCTGGAAAATGCTGGGCCTTTCCAGGTTTCCAGGGACGTTTGGGCGTCTCACTTTCACACCCAGCCACCATCAGACATGTGTCCCTGGGTCACATTGCTAAGACTGTGTCCCCAACGTCCTCTGTCTCTAGTGCTCCCAAAGAATTTTCTGTATATGTAAGTCAAATAAAATGAGTGTCAAAAGTGTAATATAGATATAGCCATGTATAGTATATATTAAGTATACATTCAAAATGTGATAGCATTGATTCCATATGACATTGCTTGATCTCATTCTAAACCATGCAAACTTTCTGTCTGCACTAATGAATTTTCTGTTTATCTCAGGATGTGATATGTTTTCTGATACACCAACTAACTTTCACGTATCTTGAAAGAACAAGATAATGAACTGGATTTTTATCTAATTTTGTCTCAGGGAAAGAAGAATTTAGAAGATGAGGAAACTCATTTGGGAACTTTCCAATACGATGAAGATGGAGACCAAATACAGACCTTCAAACTTCCTGTAAATATGTCAAATTAATGTTTTATTAACCAAATACAGTTCTCTCAGAAGACCAGACTGACCTACCCTGTTATAAATATTGATATATTGAAATGATGATCATATCTTCTAACATACAATCATAAGGTTCTTCACTGGGTATTACTAGCATTCAATTTAAAACATACTTTGAATAAAGTACCGTATTATTGTTTCATTCAAAAGGCTTCAATGAAAAACTCTACTTAAACCATAAAAATGTATGTTAATCTTGCACTTTCAGAGTAGTGGTAACTGATAAAAAGCATGGAAAAATTAATCAATTAGTTAAGTTGTCTAGAAATAGTGCCTAAATGTAATGCAGCCACATTAAGCTTTGTTATTTAACCATAACTATTCCAAAACACAGAGATACAAAGTGTTTAACTTGAACAAATGGAAAAAACTGTAGATTTATTTGGCCATCTATTAAGGAGGAAAATATTGTTGTCTTGGCATAAATCTCGTTGAAACTTTTATTACATCACGGTAACAAAATACAAAGTCAACCTCTTATTATTAAGATGTGGGAGATTCTTCAATCAACACGGAGACTCGGATTTCTTTTACTGAACATTTCTGTTCAGTTTTTATTGAGGAGAAAACAGTGACAGCTGATCACAGCTGTTTGTTACCTAGCAACCAAAATCAACAGAAGCAAGACAGTGACGAAATACGGAACCACATCCGGTTTAGTATTCTTCAAAATAAAAGACTCCCTCTATTCAAATAAATTATGCCTCGCACTTAAATATATTTCACTTCAGCTTTTGTAATTATTTACAATCATGTTAATTTAAATAAATAATGATCATCATGTAAATTATGCTCAACATACAATTGTAAGGAAGTGACTTAAAATGCAAAAAAGTCACAACATTTTCACAAAACAATAATTTTTCGTTTCTGTATAACAACAAAATCCCAGTGTTACTACAGAACATTTTGTTTTCTGGTTAGCAAGATATCAGTATAATTACCTCGCTATCTTGAGATAAACTATGCAAAATGTATTTACAGCAAGGAAAGTTGAACTAGGCTTCCATCAGACAGACCTCCTTTGTTTCTATCATCTATTTGCAACTATGGATTATCAATCTAACCTCCCTAATTTATATCTCTCTTGCCTTACAGGCCGATAAAGTTGGTTCCTTCCGTCATGTGACTCTAAAGGTGAACAGCAACTGGGGTCATCCGGACTACACCTGCCTCTATAACTTTAGAGTGCATGGAGAAATTGCAAAATGACGAGGAGAACAAAGAGAGATGGATGAGATATGGAGAAAACTATTTTTTTACCCTTTGATATATCTCTTTTGTATATGTTTACACAATTAATTTAATTCCTCACAAAAAGTCCTCACAGTCAACCATAAGTAGCACAATGGCACAGTTAGTAGCACTGTTACCTTTCAGAAAGAGGTTCAGACGTAATAAAAGTGGGATTTGTGGGTTTTCTCCGGGTGCTCCGGCTTCCTCCCTCAGACATTTTAAAATTGGCACGTGTGGGTTCTCTATGGAAGCTCCAGCTTCCTCCCACAGAAATAATAAAAGTAGGATTTGTGGGTTCTCTCTGGGTGCTCCGGCTTCCTCCCACAATAAAAACTTGACTGTTCGGTTAATTGGTCTGCCCAAAATCTCCTCAGCTGTGAATATGTGCTGCATGGTTGACAACATAACGACATAAACTTTCTGATAACATTAACATATTCAAACTTAAACTCTTAATCAAATTGAAAGATTGTCTGTCCAGGATATGGGAATACAGCAACATGATTTTGTAGATAATGATGCACTAACACAATTCTTTAAGTTCTTTCACAGATATTGAAGTTTAACTTTTTGTTTCATGTTATTCTTTCGGGACTGATTCCAGTGAGAGGTAGTTTACTGCTACAGGTTCAGACTATTTTCTGTTAATATCTATTGTATAGACTTTCCCAGATCTACCTTTTGTAACATGTGTATTGTAAACTAATATTGTAATTGAATCTGTCTTTCTTTCAGAAGGTTTGTTGACAGTTTTGTGTTTGTGTGTTTTTTATTTTTGCCCTCTTGAAGCCAGCCAGCCTCGGCAGATGGCTGCTCATCCTGAGCCTGGTTCTGCTGGAGGTTTCTTCCTTTTAAAGGGAGTTTTCCTCTCCACTGTTGCCTTGTGCTTGCTCAGGATGGGGATCCCTTGGATTAAACATCCATCGCGATCTGCTGGTGACCCCTCCGCAGAATCGCCACCTTAACGTGGTGGAGGGGTTTGAGTATCCCCATGACCCAGATGGAGATTTTGTCTTGGGGTTCAGCCAATAGTGAGGCTTCCCAGGGCAGGCTGCCATTGGGGAGGGATCAGACTAAGAGCGATTCAAGGTTTTCAATGAAGGGCTACCAAAGGAATCAGGTATTTCTAGGACACAGACAGTTATCCCAAGTACGGTTTTGCTGGAAGTTTCTCCCTATAAAAAGTCAGTAATCTTCTTCACTGATAAAAATGACAATGAATTCACTGTACTCCAATGCCCTCCTGTGACTGCTAATTGTGCTTCCATTAAGGTACCAGAATGTGAGGGTCCTAAAGTCACATGGGGACTTTGGTCTATTTGGCCCAAGGGCTTCTGTTCCACATGGCCAACGAGTGAGCAGTGTGAGACAAGTGGAGATTTGAGACAGACACACAGGCATGGAAGGTTCTGGCTCAATACTTGGAGAGGAGCCACTCACCCACACTTGAAGGAGGTCCACACCTTAGAGCAGTTGCCTACACCTGAAGGGGCCAATGGGTCCATGTTAGAAGGAGAACTGCACATGACAGAGGGCCAGAAGGAGGCGTGCACATGTCAGTTCAGTGGTTCCCAGGTTTATGCCAACATGCCTGGGCTTCTGTCTACATGTCTGGGATGGTGCCCACATACTCTTGACTCGTGTTTTAAAAATAAAGGCCTCTAAAGTGCTTCAAATGGTTACTGGTGTTGTATCCACTCATTCTTCTTTGATGGCCTTTGTGCCAGACATGCAACATTGCATGGTGTAACCCACAAGGAAAGTTACTTTAAATACACCTGATAATAGTAAGTGGCATGTAATTCAATTTACTTCTCTGACTTATACTAATACTCCTGAAGCATATTTGAAAAAGTTGGGCCTGATCAAAAGATTCTAAATTCTAGGCAGCCTAGCTGTGAATAACAAGGGAGTGCACAAAGTGTCAATAAGAAAGAGTAAAATTAATCATATAAACAATTTAGTTTCATGTACAATTGAAACAAAATTACGTACGTTTTTTTTTTAAAACATAAAATAACAGTCTTTTTAATGTATCAGTCAATTCAGTGTTTGTCTAGTCTCTTCCAATGTGTCAGTCAATTCTCTTCAGTTTTTCAAGGATAGTGACCAGTCGGGTCACTATCTACCATATCACTGGGTTCTCTGGGCTGAGGCTCGCCATCCGAATTCAGAAAAAGTGGCTCTTGAGGTCACTGGGCACTCCAGGTCAAAAGTGCACCGAAACATAAGAAAGAAAAAAAACAACAAAAAGCCTGATCTGGAACAAGGCCAAAGTAAAACATCTGAGAATATAAGATGCCAATATCAATTAAACCTATGTATCAATAAATTATGTTATAATCCAGAAATCTTCCATCATTGCTCAAGTTTTTCTTTTCAGCTTGTACAAAAATCGTCAGTTTACCAGAATACAATGTTACTTACACATCAGTAAAACGAAAGAAATTAGCTTAATATGTGGACAAGAAAAATATTAAATAATAATAATGATATATTTCAATCAAAAAATAAGTACAACTACAAAGAAAAAATATAATATACACAACAATAATAATACAAAATTTTACAGTACCATTTTATTTTTATTGAATCTGGTCAGATTTTTGCCAAATTTCAACCAATTTACTGAGCCAACTGCCGAGCACGTGCGGTCACTCACCGATAGCTAACGGGGATGTTTTTCCCCGTCTCAGCTGCTCTCAAAGGAGACTTTCAGAGATAAAACAACAACAACAAAACAAATTCACTATTTTCAATTATAAATGTTGCGAAATTATGCTAATATTTTTATTTTTACCGTTTGTCCAGATTTTACAAGCTATTTCAGGCTCTAACGAAAACAAGGGTCAGCTGTTTGTTCTCAACCGTGTCTGACACGTTCTGCGCAGAATCCCAGCGCCGTAGTGAAAGAGGCGGGACAATCAACGCCATTGGCTGATATAATATCAGACCAGGCCAGCCATTGGTTGTCAAATCCACCAGTAAAACAACCACTTAAAGGCCTATTTCACAGATTTTAAAGAATTTTAGCACTTTCTGATATTTCTGAGTAAAACAAAACATAAAATCTATTTATACTTTTTAATCTTGTAAAAAAAACGACATTAAATTAACTTCATAAACTTTTTACTCTTTTTAACACTGGCTTACAATGGCATGTGCACGGTTTTTCTTCAGAAAACATTCTAAGCCCAGGGGGTTGAGGCACCAAGGCTGTTGACAGGAAACATAAGATATTACTGTGTAATTGAGTTACTGGAAGACAATACTTAAACCCAAAACTATAGAATCCAAAAAAATATATAACATACAGAAAAAAATACAATAAAAAGAAATATCAGTGACTTGCAATTCTGTTAAATTCAAATTACGTTATCAGTTTGTCGATCCAAAAGCACAATATAATGCTGATCACATTTAGAACTGGCCCAAAGATACAAAGCTGGCATGTTTACTTTGTAAGAGTTCAAACACCAAAGTTTGAAAAGTTATAAATTCTACATTCTTTCATGGAAACTTGTTCAAGCATGAAAGAAAGAAAAAAAAAACCCATAGCCGGTTAATCTAACGTTTATAGTAGTTGACGGAAAAAAGTTGCCAGCAATAACATGTAAACTTGGTAAAACTACAAAAAATAATTTACAAATGGTTTATGCATAAGGGGTGAATGTTAATTAGCAATTTTTATTACTGTAATAATACTAAACAAAGAAAATCTTAAAACGTAAAATATAATTAACTTATGCTCTTTAATTCCCTAATGTAATTATGTTATAAAATTACATAATTATAATTTTTTTTTTTATAAAAACAAATCAGAAAGTTCAGCATTCAAATAGAAATATTTCTTCTTTTCTTTTAAGGAAAGAGGATGGTGTAATTTCTGTCAAATGCATAGAGCAGCGAAATGAATTATTTCCTTTTCACTGTTATTTGTTCTAATGAGTGATTAAAAAATAAAAATGCAATATTTTCTTTAATGTGAGGATTCAATTTAAGTTTTAAAAGAGATATAAAACAACTTATTTGCCATATTCTTTAAAGTCTAGACCAACTTACCTTCTGATGTGGATGTTTATGGGAAATCTTTCAAAACTGCACAATTTAATGAAGTCCTCCTTAAAAGTGTGGGAGGATGATGTGACCTGGCATCTTACTGCTTTGTCAAAAGGATTCTTTCAAACACACTTTTATATGAAAAACCACAGATGATACAGAAGTGAAAAAAGAAAAGTGACAGGCATGTGGGGCGGGTGAGGGCAGCGACAGATTTTGTTTTCCTGCTCATTTTATCTTTGACATCCCAAACACCCCATTTTGAGTTATTTATTTATACTTATTTTTTAACTATGTATCAAGCTTCCTGGCAACCTGCTTGTGACCCTTATCAATAATATTTAGTTAAATATAATAATTTAACAAAATGAATTAGTCTGGCTGCCCTCGGTCTTATAATGACTGAGGATTCTCAGTTCCTCTGCCTCCATGTTGTTCAGGCACAATTTCACGGAGAACTGAGAATTAAAAGTTAACCACTTGGATTAAAAAACAGCCTCCTGACCGAACATGTTTCAGGGACGTGTGATTTAATTTAACCGTTGTATATGTGAAGCTTCATTTTAATGGATTTTTCTGCCTTTTTAGTGTACAAAAGACAGTTAATCACCTGTTTCAGCCCTCTGATTTTATTCATTAAGTTGTTTTTGGATGTAGTATTTATTTCGACCACTAGGTGGTTCCACGTGCTTGCTTGTTGTATACTGTTTTAGATCTGAGCATTAAGTAGTGTGGCTCTCAAAGCAGGCTTCGTCATTATTCTTTCTCCCGTGTGAATGTAAGTAATAATGTAGTTTGTTAGTTCGAATGTAAATGCGGGACGGATGTGTTGTGCCCTAGCATGTTTAATATTGTATTCGCTTGCTGCGGTGTGCTTGTATCGTCGAGAGCTACAGTTAGCCGTTAGCTTACGCTATTAAGATCGCTTAATTAGGTGCAGCTGTTGTGCTGATTGCAGTTGCGGCACATGCCTTTTGGTCTAAAAATGGAGAAATACGAATGCTGCTGTGCACTGGTTTGAAATCATTAATAGCATGCACACTCTGAGGAGGATCCTCAACAGAATGAGACTGCACAGAAGGAAACATCAGTCCGATCCTCTGGCTAGACTCAAAAATGAATAAGGTGTTTAGCAAGCAGCGAGTTTAGAAGTCTTTAGTTTGATATGAAGTGTAAAAATTCATCATGTACGATAATTTTGTCCTCAGCAGTTTTATATGTGCATGGTTTTAAGCAAGCTATAGAAAACGCCAGAGATCTGGAAGAGCCCGCAACAGCCACGTCAACCATTTTGGAAAACATTTGAGAAACCTTCTAATTGATTTGTGAAATTTGTAAAATATCAATAAATTAATGAACAATTTGTGGGTCTCGACGCATTAGATTTGAATGATCAAATTGGCATTATTTGTTGTTACTTTTAACTTTAACTGACAAATGTGTCAGAATAACATGGACTGAGTTGGTGTAACGTTCTCTGCTTATTTACTAGAATGACAAAAAAAGAGCCAAATCTTCAAAACGTAACTGCCTGCGAGTGGTCCCTCAGCTCCACCAGCACTCTGCAGAATTATTTTT